ATAAATCTGATCAACCATAACATGTACGAAGGGGATTTCACGTAAATAATTTAAATACCAAATCAATACAGAAAATGCAATTACATATTTGTTTAGTGTATTATACATGCAACATTTACAGCTGATTTCATTATTGTTTTGTTTAAGCTAAGAAAGAATATTCTAATTTCAAACTATAACTTCCAGAATGTTCAATATTCGTTTTTTTTCATTATTATTCTTCTTTTACTTTTTTTACTTTAAAGTATAGAAAAATAAATGGATGAGAATTAAATACCATCTGACGTATAAACTAATTGTTCAATGAAGCTGAAACTAAAAATATTATAGGTTATTCACCTTATTTAAACAAAGCATTGGCGTTTTACTCATGTATATTATTCACATGGTTAACTGTACAATCATATATTTTATGAAACTAACCTATGTATAAACCATATAAAGTTGACTAATATCTCAATTTCATACACATAGTTCCCTTTGTCATTTTAAAAGAGCAAGAACAAACATTCTAGCAGAATAAAATGAATTCATTTTTATTTCGTCGGTTCTCGTCAGCTACTCACAACCTGTGATATTTAAACATCATAATTACATAATGGGTTTAAATTACCTACATGGAAGTGTTTGATTGGAAGTTATATTAAAGATATATTCGTATTGTATAACAAGGGTGTAAATAAATATAATAGACTGAATATTGTAAATATTCAGTAAACATTGATAGGAATACAATAAGTAGAGTTCAGTTGATAAAACAAGATTATTAATTTGGAAGGTAGTTGGGATAAAAATCAATGATAAGTGCAAGGAAGAGTTTAAAGAAAAAGAAAAAATATTAAGATACAGCGAAAGAATATTAGTCACCAAGGCAAAGAAAGATTAATAACTATCTCCTTTTGAACACATAAATCAGGTTTTTGGCGTCTGATAGCAACTGCTTCAGCAAACTTCGGAAGACCGGAGTTTGGCTGCTTATTAACCATCTTGAATGATTGTAGGGTATCGACATGATGTCCTGTATCAGAGAGTTGTTTGGTGATTGCTCTATTTAGAGTCTTTCCTTCTCTTGTTCTGAGGCTTTATGGAACATGTTCAAAAAATCTGAGATATGCCCTACTTTCTGTTTGGCCAATGTAATATTCATAGCAAATAAAAGCTTTCAACAAGTCAATGGATGTTAGAACTAACAACTACTAAACATTACCAAGTGCATGAACAGTTGTTGCACAATCATAATATGTCTAAAATTAATTTAATAGTTGAATTCGTGAGTCAATTAAAGCTAGACCACCATGGAAAACCTGGAGGCACTGGGCGACCGTTTCGTTCTAGTATGGGACTCTTCAGCTGTGCGCATCCACGAGTATGTTCACTGGATTCAAACCCAGAACTTTCGCTCTTGAACGTAAGCGCTTAACATCTATATCGCAGAGACGGTATCCAACGGTATTAATCTTTCACTTCAAGCAATCCATGAAATGTCGCGACCATCTTCAGTTGTCTTTGGTGAGTAATTGCCTTACACCTGACACGGTTGAACTTTGCTGGTCACGGCTTCTCACCAGAACTCCGAGAATCAATTCCCGAAACTAGTTACTAGTGAGCACATGATAATTATCATTATAGGGTTGTGGAGATTGTTGGAGTTTAACAGACCGAAGGTTTTGGTTTCGAATCCAGTAGGCGAGATCGTGAATGCGCACTGCTGAGGAGTCTCATACTGGAACGAAACGGTTGTCCAGTGCTTCCAGGTTTTCCATAGTAGTCTAGCTTTAATTGACTCACGAATTTGACTCAATACTTTCCAGTCTTATTAGATAACAAATACCGTTTGTTACACTTAGAAAACCATTACAACAAAGCAAATTTATTTTACTATACAATAGTTTAAACATATCCGACATAATGAAATCAATAAAATGAATGTTTCCAATGTTTTTACAATGACTGTTATAATCTAGATTGTTGTAACTAAAAGCTAAACAGATAATCTTAATCTCATTCTTAAATACAGACACAAGTAATTTGTAATTAAGTTAATGTAATAATGAGATAAACACATTTTGGTAAATAAAAATACATTGTTTACAAACAAACAAACAAAAACATATTCTGATAGAAATCCTTCCGATTTGATTGAAATGAAATAGCATACCTAATTTAATGAGTATAGTTTAGACTGAACTTTCATAATAAATTTGCTTACAAAAATGCTGTCAATACAATAATCTGACTTTAAAAATTACCCTTGTTAAATGTATAACCTAATATGGAATAAACAGTATTAAAAGTTGTTGTTGTTGTTTTGTTTTTTTAATGAAGAAACCAAGAAAGTAGGTGCTTTCATTTTACAAATACCGATATATGTGTTTAATAAAAATAATAATGAGAGGTTCAATGGATAAAATTTTACAGTATATATAATTGCATGTGAACAAACTCATTAGAGTATTTCAACTTTACCGCCATAATCAAATTCCTTATCAATTAACTGACAGTATTCATGATTTATTTGTAACTAGTTTAAGAACACATTTCTTATGAATGATATTATCATGAAAAGTCTAACTATTGTTATTAGGTTAAATGAACTAAAAACATATTGATTAATAAACAGTAGTTTGTATGAGTCTATACAGAGTCTGGAACATTGTTAAGCCCGGTGTAATGTGACGTAATCTGAAATGATTATATATCTTTAAAAATATAGGTTGAATAGACAAAATTAAGTGAAAATAGATGTTTGACAAGAAATATCAAGAAAAAAGAAGCATTAGTGACAACTACAATATTACGAGTCTTGGTGTGCACCATAAAACAGTAAGTAGACTATAGTCAGAATGACAAAATCGACATTCATTTAGTTTGTCAGATAATCATAATCAAAGTAGAGTTTGGAATAGGTATTTATTAGTACAGTTTACTACACTGGATTAGTATAACCAGATAAAAATAACAAGTTGATTGTAATAATATAGTAACAAGGATGATATGAAAGATTAAATATTTATGTTTTTCTAAAAGATGGAGTTGAAAGATGTATATGAGAAAATGCTGGAATGTGACATTGAGAAAAAGATAATAATTGAACGAGTCTACCCCATTATGAACGATTCTGAGCCACTTCATCTAATATTTTCAAGCAGTGATTGTGGTTCAAATCTGTCAATATAGCTCAAACCCATGCTCAGTGACTTCATGAAGCTGTGGTATGTCTTGATTCGAACTCTGCTAGGTTTCGTTCAACCTAATTCTATTCCGGCAGACATCGCCTGTCACGAGTGTTATTAGGCTTTAGTAAAAAGTGTCATAAACACCTCAGTCAATTAAAACTCATAACCACATCAACCAGTCCGACACCACCTAGTATCCTATCCCTAACCTCAACATTGAACGCTTTGTCGTTCCACGAAAAACGAGTAATATTTCGAAGATCGCTATTATTAAGAACTTGCAGTCTAAGTATTTCATTTCCTTTCGTAGTCTAAGTTTCACACCCACAAATCTATAGAAAACAGACTGTTGTCAAGTATACATCCCATTTGGCTGGCAGACAAACATCTTGTGGTATATTTGTCCCCACTGAGTTTTATTATATCGAAAATACGGGCTTGTTTATTGTTAGTCGCATTAAGAAATAGAGTGAAGTTGATTTAGTGGCTAAATAGTATTGAACTTTTCTCGAGATTCTCTGTCTGATCATGGTTGCCCAAAGCACTAGAAACTCAATTTTTAACAGAAGATAGCCATCCTATAATTTCTGGATTTCTGCATTATCTTACATGATATAAGCCCCTGATGACAACTGGATTCAGCAAAAATACCTAGGTAATAATCAAAACGGAATATACTGTACAACTAGTGAATAAATGCTTATTAACCATTAACCAGAAAATTACAATTAAATTCGCAAAAAGCTCATGCCGTCTTAATATGGACGATTACTATACATATATGCATATTTGTTTATGGTATAGAAGGATTTGTGGAGATAATTTAATTATCATAAATTAAATCACAAACCGATCTTAGTTAAACCACTGTTGAAAATCTGTAAACACTGCACGGCGATTTCGCTCTGTTCTTGGACTCCGTAGTACTGTGCATTCACGAGCCTGTGGTTAATAGTCGAACACAAATGACTAAACTCTAAGCCACTGAAACGGCATCCAACTGTGTTAATGCTTAGTCTTAATCAATCCACAATGTTGCTTAAGCCTCGTCTATTGTCTGTGGTGAATAATTGTCTCACACTAGACATAGTTGAATTCCACTGATTTCAACTTCTCATTAGAACTCTACTAATTGGATTTTGAAGTTAATCACTAGTTAGTATATGATTATTGTTGATATAGTGAGATCTATGCAATAACTATTTAAAATGATTAATAATAAGTTATTAGTGAGAAATTCATCCAGTGCAAACTCAAACTAAACTAGTAAATAACCATGATTTTCAAATGATAGGAATCAAATAATTATTACATAACGTTAAGGACAAAGAATCATTTTCATTTCAAGTGCATTAAAACGATTTTTTCAACAACAATAAAATAACTCAAAATTTACATACACACGTACATATTAAAAGTATAGTTATTTAGTATTATTTTCTAAGTAAGATATTGTTACATAAAAGAGAAATAAATGAGAGAGGACTAAGAATAAAAAACCTTATGACTATTAATAAGAAATTAACAATCACCAACGACTATTACTGATATTACCAGTATAATAATCATATATATATATATATATATATATATATATATATATATATATATATATATATATATAATTACATATTTGATCATGCTGTTAATAAAACTACATTTATTAATGAACTTAAAGAGGATAATGAAAAAAAGAAATTGTAAAATGTACTTTTATTCTTTCATTCTAACTAACCATTTAAAAATGGTTTTATAGGTTGTTCTGTACGAAATAATCATAAGGACAGAATAATTAATTTGTTTATTTTTTGTTTGCTCTTTTTTGATGGATTGTATCATATTTTGTTGTCATTATTTAGAATCAAAATAAATTGATGGGAAAATGGTGGGCAAGAGAAACTGAAGGAAACTAATTTCGATAGTTATTGTTTATTTACATACAGAATACAAACTTTTGTTTCTTTTCGTTGTTATTTAATTTTGAGTTAATTGTTTTAGATTACGATAGTTGTCTTGACTGCTAAACTGCAATTCTTAAATGATAATTATGAAGGAGAAAATAACCACGTCTCAAATAATGGATCAATAAAATGTTTCATTGTGAATGTAGGGGGAATAAACTCTAAGCACACTTTGAAAACATACATTCATAAAACATTTGAAAGTAATATTAACATATACAGCTTTTCTGATTAGTTGTATTTGACTTATTATCAACTATCATGTTTTTGTGATGGTGGCAATGAAGATTGTTGAATTTCATTTAAATCGTAAACCAATCTAAGTTAGACCACTATTGAATACCTGGAAGCACTAGACGACCGTCTCGTCTTAGTATGTGACTCCTCATCAGTGCATAAACATAGTCTGGCATATATGACCCCAACTCAGCACCTTTGATGTCACGCGCAAACCCTTAACCTCTAGACTAATGAGCTGAAATCCGATTGTATTAATGTTTAGCCCCAATCAATCCACACCATTGCATGACCGGGAGAGCTAATCTGTTTTAAGTGTGGGGTAGTTACCTACCGAAGGTAATAGAAGATGATCATGCAATGTCGTGGATTAATTGAAGTTAAAGACTAGCACTGCTGGATGCAGATTCATTGGCCTAGAGGTTAAGTATTTGCGCACGAAACCTGTGATAAGTTGGGGACCCGCATGTGGAATCGCGATTACGTGTTGCTGAACAGTTCCATACTAGAACGATGCAACCATCTAGTACCTTCAGATTTTACACGGTGATCTAACTTAAATCGGTTTATAATTTCAATGATATTATGTTTCTAGCTAATTTTTAGTAAAATGGGTTGTCTTTATGTCTTGCACAAAATACTTTAGTGGGAGATTTTCTGAATACTAACTTAAAACGAAGATGGTAATTTTCATGAAAGCTTTCATTAACTGATATCATTTAAATGGACTAGAATTACTCTCATTTCAAGATTCTGGTTAATTTATAGTTTCCAAAATAAGTATTCATTCAAACAATCTTATTGTTTACTATTGACAAACTTGTATAAAATAAGATGGTTTAAGAACACATAGATCATCTTTTAATTGCACTGACCCTAGAAACGGAATGGAATCAAAAATATTTATACTGTGAAAGAACCGAACAATAACTACTAAAAATATTGCTTTGGTTTTAATGTAATTTATTGTCCGTTTAAACTAAGTGACGAAGTAAGAATTCATTTCAGAGGGTTTACTTGTCTTAACCCGACTAACAATTATTTTTAATATATTTTATTTGAAAAATAAGCCAAGTACTTCATTTTATGATGTCTAGTATTGGCTAATTTAGTTTTATTAGATCCCGTCTTTGAGTTACTTATATTTTCTCAATATCAGTTCGTTCAACTTTAACCAGTTTGATTGTTTACAATATTCTTCTCCAAATGATTCAGCTGCTGGTGAAATTTTTGTTAATAGTATATCTCAAACATTATGATTTCATGTAAATTTCATAGTTTAGAAAATAGGAGAGGGTCGTTTTTGAAACAAAAAATCAACTTCCCTGGGTTATATTAGGTATGAAATTTTAGTAAATTTGATCATAAATGTAATTTTTATTATTCATAAGAAAGGAATGGATAGGTTACTTACTTTTAATTGCTTCTGTAACACTTGGTTCTAGGCGCTGTTTATAAATACCTTCACCAGATAATGATGAAGCAGCCAATTCATCTTGTGTAAAAAAACTTTTCATCAGTAATCTGATTAATCGCGTAGCACTTCCAGATGATTTTACAATTAAACTATAAAATATATCTTTGGATAATTTCACATTTGGATGAGCTTCAGATAGTAATATTTGACTCTATATCAGAAAAGAATAAGAAAAAACTATTGATGTCATTGTCAGAAGACAAGAGGTTACTTAATCTCTAAAATAAACTCTTATTTACCATGATTCTAGAGATTTAATTATATTTAAAATGATAGGCGTTTGAAGAAGTCACTTAGTTCAAACACACATTAGTTCACAACATATCAGCTAAAGCCTAATATAATACCTACATCTTGCTGAACAAATATAATCGAATTAAGGATTCAAAACATTTTCGTAAATCGTCTTCAAACATAAGATTCAAAATAAAATCAATCATGATGTCACAATAAATTTTTCTAAATATAAAATTCACTTATTTATTGAATGAAAAGTATTGGTTTAGTTACCGATATGGCTGATTTTAACCAAAATTATCGACCAAATCTCATTAATTACATCCATGAATTCGTTTCACTTTGATAGGTGAATTCATTTTCTTGGCTCATTTTTGATTTCTTTTAGTCATTATGTAATCGAATTTTTAGTAAATCTATAAGTAATTTATGTAGTCAACTGGAAAGGTTGATTTTTTTTCGTAATGTGAAATAAACACTATTTCCGCCTAATTTCCAAACTTCCTGATAGTTGATGTAAATAATGTCATTATGAAATAACTCCGAATATACTTCAAATAATGTACTCTTATGAATTTACAAAGCTTGCGTTATAAGAATTATGGTAAAATATAGTCATACGAAATCAGTGTTCTACAAATATGGAAGATAAACTGTTTAGTTTAACTGCCAATATTACATCTAGCTTAATAAATAACTGCTTTTTAAATAAGGGATATATTATATCCCACTAACCAAACAACTCAGTCTAGTCATGTAATCAACTTAAGCGTTATTTTCACGATAAAAACTAGTCAATATACAGATATGATGAGTAGTATCCTAGTCCAGCCATAAATTAGAATTACTCAATAACAATCTTATTAATTAATCACTATTTATTTTAATTTTTTTACAAATGTCACTGTTAATATCATTCCGTAGAATATTTCACCTAAAGAGATATACTTGCATGTTAATAGATGTATCTGTTTTAGTAAATTTCACTTGTTAAAAACAGTTAACTCTTTTTTATTTATTTTATACTTCTTTCTATTGTCTTTATGTGTTGTATGTTGTATGTAGTTCTCTGTTAGAGAAACAAGTAAATTGTCTTCATCACAATATTGCGTGTTATATTTCTTACTGTAAATGTTGACACCACTATTATTATTATTATACAAGTTCTATCACTTTTTCTTTCTTTGAAATTAACTCGACTCTTTCAAACATCATACATGTTTGATTAGGAATCATGTTGTCCTTTGGATCCGTGCATTATTCAAACAGTGAAGTACTATTTATCCTGTTTTCTCTCTCTCTGTCTCTCGCACACACACACAAAATGGATGCTAAGTTCCACAAATAAAATTGCATTTGTCTGTATAGTAAAAATAATCTTTCTTTTTAAATATGACATAGTATAATATCCGTACATTTGCCTGCCAGTCTGTTTGTTCTAAGAATATTAACGCATTTATTTTTTTCTCCTTAAAAATGAATGAAAAATAAACGCAAGTCTATCTCTTCTTACATCTCAACTTGTGAATGTGTATACAAATAATTTGTATATCACATTTGAACAGAAAAAAAAATAAGAAAACAAATTTATGAATACCAGTGCTATCGTGTTGGGTTATTTTTAATAAGTTGAAATGAAATAAGTAAAAAAAAAAAGAAACTACATACAAACTGAGACAAGAATAAGTGCACATTATAAAGGAGAATGATGAATTTATCTTGACTATATCAAGAAGAAAGAAAGAAGTAAAAAAACACAGAAAGAAAATTCTATCAAAAATGTTTTATCGTAATAATAATTATTATATTATCAATGATAAAATGAACTATATAACTCTCCCCCCTCCCTCTCTCTCAATATATATATATATATATATATATATATATATATATATATATATAAGTCAAGACAAAATGCCATCTTCCAAAATAAATTTAATTAATGATATCGTTTGACATGATTATTATTATTATTATTGTCGTTGTTGTTTCTTCTCTATTCCTTAAAACTACTGAAAATTTACTGATATGTATGAAATATGAAAATATTGGATGAAGGGATATTTAAACAAACACACACACACACACACATATATATATATATATATATACACATACGCACACACACACACATAGATACACAACTACCACACGCATATACCAAATAAAATATTCAATACTAATAATAATAATAAAATTCGTGTTTTACATGAATTAAGATTATCAATAATAATAATCATTGGATAATAATGTAAGAAATTGAAAATCATGAATAATGAGAAATAATTTAAGAATAAAATAATAACAGAAAAGAATTATTAACTTAGTTAGATATAACTATGAATGTAGTCATGATATTTACTTATTGAATTGATGCTTAGTTATTCATGAATAACAAGTTAAATAAGAAATAATAAAAATAATAATAATAATAGTCTATATTATTTTTGATTAAATAACATATGTCACTAAGGTGTATCAGTTTAATATTTGAAAACAAAAGGTTTATTGAATAAATAAACAATCCCTCTTTTTTTTAAAAAAAATTTTTGCTTTCAATCTTAAATGCTATTGCTAAACAATAATCCAATGATAAGAATATATGGAATATTTAATAGGAAATTTAATAGGGGTCATGGATACGCACTGTTGACGAGTCGCACAATAGGATGAAATGGCTGTTCAGTGCTTCCAGGTTTTCTGTGGTGGTTTAATTTTAATTGACTCATGATCTTAACTATTGAAATTACTACAATTTCCACAAAACCCCTTTTGATACTAAATAAAGTATCTCAATACTATAGAAAGTTATGATGGAACTAAATATAAAATGATCATATTTACTGTAATTAGTAAAATGCACATCTTAGAAAATGATTGTAATATTTTAGTAATTTTAGTTAAATAAACTATTATTTAATGTTATAATGGTCAATCTATTGAAGACAACAAATATTATGCTTATATGTAAAAATTACATTTGAAATAATCTCAGTGATTGAAATTTAAAATAATTCCAACGTTTCGTCCAGCCAACTTGTCTGAACTTCTCCAGGGTAATAAACCAAGAATTTCAGACAAGTTGGCTGGACGAAACGTTGGAGTTATTTTAAATTTCAATCACTGAGATTATTTCAAGTACAAGTATCACACATAATGACTTCTCTATACTCGGAGCTTAATTTCTGTCCAAATATTATGCTTGTTATGTATTTGTTTGGCATTCATTTTAAACGATTCCTTGTTTTTAATAATCGGGTTGAAGTAATTCTAAGATAGTCGTTAAGTGAATGTGTTTATTTTTTAAAAGAACTTCATTAAGTAAATAGTTCTTCATAGGGTAGCAATCGGTTTTTTTAAGGTTTTACATCTAGTCCCAATTGTGAAGAATGTAATCTGTTATTTAATAGTCTCAGTTAATTCTCAAGTTTTTTAGAGAATTACCTTAGTAGAATAAACAATCAAACAGCCAAAATATAAGCCTATGATGATATTCATATATAACTCTTGTCACGCCGCATAAAAAACTAATGACTGGCGAAATGGATTTTTACTAACTATACAAAACAAATATTTTAACCATATTGTTATTGATGATTATGAAAATTTTTTCTTTGCTAATGGGAAGTGGGCTTGGAGTTATCCGTTTGAACCAATTACATTTTGTTAAGTGAAATGCTATATAGTATTGTTGAGGAGTTTTTCGCTAACTGTTTAATCCCACATCAATAAGGCACAATAGCTTCAACGGACTCTAGACTATTGCACTTCGAACTAAGTATTAATCAAAAAATCTACCATACAGACTAGTTTAAAATCTGATTCTGAACAAATCTTCTTCAACTTTATTAGGAATATCCCTAAGACGAACGAAAAACAGTATAATCCCTATAAGATAAAATGCAAGCCACTTATATAGCATATATATATATATATATATATATATATATATATTTGTATAGTGATGCATATTTACATAATTGTGAATATATGGTACTTTGTTACGTTTGTTCACACAAGATTTTTTGTTCAACATATCGTTTGTATAAAATATCACATATTGTACAAAGATTTTATGATTTTCATTGCCAAATATTACTGACATTAAAAATATTAAATTTTATTTGTACACTGAACAATTCCTCGGTGTACTAAACAAGTATGCAAATATTCAGTAACAGATTAATTAAAAGTAAACATATTTATCCTGAAATCACTACAGTTGAGTTCAGCAAAGCTGTAACATTATCCTAAAATACTTGTGATCTGCGTATAAATATGCTTGATTATTAGATGTTGAATTTATTCTCATCATTTAATACTACTTTTGACAGAACCCATGAATATTCACTATCCATATGTGTCCTCATTCGTACTTATGAGTAAACGTTCTGGCTACTTATTTGATGCAAACGAATAATTTAAGGCTATTTAGACACGATTCCATCAAGATTATTCATTCTGTAGCATTCTGTTGTTTCTATATTATCCATTACTATATTTTATTAATAATTCCATTAGTTTTCATTCATGAAAAAATACATTTACAAATAGAAGAGATGATTTTTGAATTACAGAATATCAATTTGTGATAAGAACACATATATATCCTAATAATCCTTCAATCCGTAAATCGTTACCCTACAACGAAGAGTTCATCATATTAGGAAAGTGATTGATATTCATTACCTCGTAAATTAACTTTTACACCAATTCACATACGCTACTTTATGAAACTAAGCCATTACACTGATATTTTGTTGTTAAAAATATCAGTTATGAGACCAACCATAGAAGTTATGGAGGTAGCGTAATAAAATGTTATATATGTATATCAATTGTAAAGCTAAACACAACTTCAATCCCGAGCTCTACCTCATTTCAAATTATATGAATCATGACAGCTAAACATAT